GACAGTAATATGTGGCCCTGTCTCGGTGTACTTCCAGCCAATGCATCAAGGCTCCACTCAAGCTCAGCACCACTGTCACAAAGAATATCATATACCCAGAAGTACTGCTTTGATTATTTGTAAGTCCCATGTGCAAACCAACATGAAGCTCAACTAATGCCTATTTCCAGTAGTGTCCTGCTTAAATAGTTTACATGTTGGAGAATCTATGCTTTTTTTACTTTGATTGACACTACTGAGATTCAGTGGAGCCACCCCCAGGGTTTGGGGTGGAGCCCCAACAAGCTGTCGAGCCCGGGACATAGGTACGGACTGAGCGCAGCGAGTGTCTGTGCCGAAGGCATGGGTCGTAAAGCTTGTTCCTATATATGAAAAGAGGATGGTCACAGCCACAAAAATCAGGTGATAAGTCACATGCTTTCTCACGTGAGCTCGCGCAATCCGCCGTGTCCCCCTTCGAACCCCAGAACTCTGTATCCGTCGTGTCTTTGCGAACTCTCACGTCGAAGACACGGGTGTTAAAGCTAGTATATTCAAACACAAAGTCACGAGAAAAGTCACATGCTTTCTTCCTTTTAAGGGCAAAAGTCACGGGAAATCTTGACTCAGCTGTTTTTTGTCAGCATGGAATTGGCATGAACCGTGGACTCTGTATCCACCGTGTTGTGACCTCTGTCTGCCAAAGGTCTGCGGGGTTTGGGGCAGAGCCCCAATGAGCGCAGCGAGCAATCCTCAGCTTCACATGACAAGGCACAGGGATGAGTGGGGAAGCAAACACGAACAAATTGTTCACAAGGTGGCTGACAGGATTCTGAGGAAAGAATGCCTTCAAACCCGTTCAAAATACACGCTTTTCCGATAAAAAGTATATAGTCTGGAGGGGATTTTCGAAGGGATTCAGATGATACCAATTTCTTTGTCATCAGATGGGTTTTAAGTTTGTCCAAAAGTGGACGACTTTCTAATTTGGACTGTCTGGATTTGGTAGGCTCACGTGGATCGGAGTATGCCGGGCCCGGGTTATGTCTGCAGAGCGAGCTGAACATCACCGAGTCGAATCTTTTATGATAACAAGGGAGTCTAGGGATGGAGTTTTTATGTGGTTTCACTCCATGTGGTTTGCGTCGAGGAACATTGTGTTAAGATGGTGGTGAGGAAGGAATTGCCCTTAGATTCATGGGAGTCATCACAGCTCTGCAAATTGAGGTGTGTGAGATGTGCTGCCCATGAAGGCATGGGGAAATTGGGCCGACATCGACCAACTTGAGGGACATGAGCATGGGGGCACCCAAAGAAAAGATATCCATGGGGGTATATTCAGTGCCGCCCTGGATCTCCAGGCTCTCCAACATGGGAGCTGTGATGTCTCAGAATGGTGCCACCATTGGGTGTATCAAGGTGTGGGCCTCGATACATAGCTGCCAAATTTGATGCGTATGGGGTACAAGATGACTGCGGGAGTCTGCAATGGACTTATGGTGCTTGACGTCACCATCCCCTCGCGAGATCTCGAGTAAAGTGATGCATATGGCACAGGCCTGCAAACACTTTAGGTAGAGTTTGGAAGCTTGGAAATTTCTACTGAGCTTGGCTTTGACGATAGTCCAGAGAGTTGGCACGCTGATGATCACGATCGTGAAAGCGACGAGAGACGTGCAACAGAATCCACTCTGGTCTGACCTCAAGGGGGTTTGCCAGTACGTCAGGATCCTCTTGTCCAACAGCAGCGATCTCGACAAGGAGCTCATCTGGGAGAGAAAAGATTGCAGGTGGTGAGGGTGCAAGGTTTATATCAGATGCATTGAGTTTCTGGCCAAAGCTTGCCATATGCCACAAGATGCAACTTGACTTTGAAGTCGAAAGATGAGGCAAATGCTTGTGAATGCTTCAAGGTGAACTAACACTGCCACCGATTCTCAGGATCCTCATATTTATCCCCAAATTTATACAGACTCGTTGCTCCTCAAAGCGGTTAAGTAATTATTCTTGAAGGGCTTGAGGGAGTAGGTAGTATATTCCGATGTGGTCCCGTTGAGGAACAGTTGAAGGAAGCTTGAATATTTCTTTTGCCAAGTTCACAGTCTATTTACACGGCCGCACCATTAACTTAACGCTTTGTTAAAATTCATATTTCACAGCAGTCTCATTACTATAATTGAGCTTGAGGACCCGTTACAAATTCTTAAAACACAGGATCGTAAGATTATTCTAAGACTGATGGTCCCCATTGGGATAAGTTGCAATTGGAATATTAGTCTGGCAGCGCCACACTTCCACCCCACCATACACCTCAAGGACATTCATGGAGGAGAGAAGCAAAATATATTGAAGCCTTGTAGATAAGATCATAATAAACTAAGCTGAGTGCTGTTGGCGACTGGGGGCCAACTCACATGTGACATTAGTTTCAAGGAAGACCTGCTGAGAGAGGGAGGGAGCAGAGGATACCAGACACGAACCTAGCAAACGGTGTGAAAGTGTTCTTGATTTTCGTCCGAGGCATGGCAGCATTTGGGACACGGCAGAGGAAATGGTCTTGCAGGAAAAATCTTTGATGGCCTTGTAGGCTTGAGAATTGACACGAAGAAAGTCCAACAAGTTCTTTGTACATCTTCTGAAGGTCTTGTTATTACCAGAGTTATATTTGCAGTCTTGACCGTGTCATGGTGAACCGAGATGTGGCGAGAGCAGAGCTGAGCAGAGTCCAAGACTTGCCAGCATAATGCTTTGTGCAAGACCGGTGTGAGCTGGCTCCATGCGCCGACTCCGGAAACTCGTAATATTCCCCATGGCGGCGGAAACGACTGGCGGAGAAGCAGAAGATATCCCCTTACTACAACAAGCATATCCAGAACATTAAAAAGAGATGGTGCCACCGGTGAAACAGTGACTATGGGTATACTGATGTTCGCGAAGATAATCAGAAAGCTGCTAGACAGCAGCAACTAACCAACTAAAAACACTACAACCAACACACACACACACACACACACAATTGAGTTCAGGTCGTCCTGCAGTTTACAGGTAAGATTGATCTTTCTCGTATTCGTGTCTCGAAAACGCCAGCTCGATAGAAGTCTTATTAGGACCAGTATGAGCACAAAGTAGTCAAAGATTGACCAGGGATTATCTACTTCGACAGAAGCGATATGGGTTTTATATATTTTTATACTTCTAGACACCTCAAAAAGATATCTCAAAGACCTATAAGTCTCTCTAGACTTAGATAGGATTTCCTGCCGTACTCTGACAGAGACCGCACTGGATCTAGACTTTGGATCGTGACCGAACTCACTGGAACGGATGCCAACAACCGGGTACTGCGACTGAACTCACTGGAACAGTGCCAACAGCAGACCTGAGGTAACAACCAAACAGGTGCCTTTCACACAATTGTCGTGACTCTCCACGAACACGGCTTCAGTCCTTTAAAGCTTATATATGCCAACAAGACCACTTTATATTTGAACGATAACAACAAAGATAGTTATATATAACATATCTCCGCGCTAGGCTCAGACCAGCACCAACACCGTTACTTTGGTGGGAGATGCAGTACTGAATCGCGGGTTCTGCTAGGCTTTATATACAATACAGGAATTGTAGATAGTAATGAGAAATGAGTCAACATATAAGAGAGATTTGATGTACACGGAACTGCGGAGGTATGCCGCTGGTATTCGTAGTACGAGGCCGAGACTAGTCATCTGGATTTGACCAGCTCGAACCCATACTAGGTATATTGGTTTGTTCCCGAGGCCTGCCGGTCCTAACACGTATGTTAGCCGGACACACGCCCCAACAGCTTGCCGCATGACCACGTAGGTCGCGGCATATTTCTAGTTCTCTATTGGTCGACGCGACACTGCTGTCTGGCTGTATCAACACGTCTCACTCATTCCTTCGGTCCAAGCGCCTGTCATCAATTCTGATGACTATCTCGTTATGTGTGATTGCCGTCGCGACGTGTCCTTCCATGATCGACACTCGTCGCGATCATTTCCCGATGATCTCCAATGTCTCGGCTTTCTCGGTTTCATGATTCTCGCTCGGACTACTGTTCATGAACCAAGTTATAGTTGTCGCGACTAGACCCCATCCAGGGTCTAGTGTATATATATGACTTTCCATGCCCAATCTGTGGACTTCATGCATGTCTCTCAAGTTTAGGTGTTTTTACCTCCTCGATACAGTGTCTAGCTTTTAGTACAACCGACCCTTTGTGAAGTCAATTCAATACTATGAAGCCCACTGAGTCCCAGACACCGCACGCTAACCCCCAATGGTATAAGGATCAAACCGTATTGTATCTAGAAGACAACAGTCCTCTCGTGTCATGAACACCTAGCCAGCAGCTCGGAGCTCACTCTGACTCTACTTGTATATCACCGGATAGAGGCTCTAGTTGGCGACTAGAAGTGCAAAAATGCATGATTACACCGGCACGCAGTTATGAGCCGTATCACCAGGAGTCGAACCCGGGACATCTGCGAAATAATCTGTTGTGCATCAAGTAAACCATAGTGCAACACCCTATGCTACGGCGCCAATATGCAGATGGGCACCAAGGTTGTCTTGAAGGACACATTCTGTCAACGATAAAAGCATGGAAACACTGTCAGGTCAACAATTCAGCCATTCCGCCGCTTGAAGAACATGTTCCGTCGATGATAATAGCTTGAAGAACACATTCCGTCAATGATAAAAGCATGGAAACACTGTTAGGTCAACAATTCAACCCTTCTGCCGCTTGAAGAACACATTCCATCAACGATAAAAGCATGGAAACACTGTTAGGTCGACAATTCAATCCTTTCACCACTTGAAGAACACATTCCATCAATGATAAAGGCATGGAAACACTGTTAGGTCAACTTCCGTCACCTGAAAAACCTGTTCCGCAATTTGAAAAGCCCTATCCACCGACAATAAACAAGGAACATCCAGTGGAATCCCAGTGGAAAAGCAAGTCAGAGCGCTGAAGAAAGGATAAAAAGAGATGGTACCGCCAGGACTCGAACCCGGAACCTCCGCACAAAAATCCTTAGTCTCAAAGGTATTTACAGCACATTAACATTACGCTATGGGACCGATACAGGGATGGATATGGAGAACCTCTTTCGATTCACAAATCGCACTGTGAGGGGCATTATGTTAGAGGATCAATGCAACATTGCACAAGGCTCGAAGAATTCCGCCAGAAACCAGAAACCACTCTACCAGGAACACCTCAGTAATCTCCATGACCAAGATCCTGCCCACATTCCGTGGCATCAATTCTGCCACGAAGGAACACATGAGTCAGCAGAATCCCGTCCAGTAATAATGGATGACAAACAGGATTAAAAGCGGCGGGATCTCGAACCTACCACTATTAAAGGAGGCAGGACCATTGGAATGCGATTCCGCCAAGCAGAAATTGCCTGAACAGGAAGATATAACTGATGGCTGAGCCACAATATCCTTAATGGGCTGGTAACTGAAGATTAACATTGAGGAGAGCACAATTCCGTGGGGGGGCTTGTGTTCCGTCATGGGAGAAAGGGAATTCTGCTGGCGGAGGCATGACACAGGTACACTGTGTCAAGCCACCATTATGAGGGTCTGCTGGCAACCAAAGCAACCAAAGAGTCGGTTCTGCCGGCTCCACCAAACTGTTTCATGCACAACAGAATCAGTGGAGGCCCAACATTACTCCTGGGAAGGCAGTGTACTGGGCTCCGCTGGGGTATAAATACGAAGTAGAATTTGTAGTAGTGGTATCTAGTTCTCCCCTTGCAATCTAGGCTTTTAAAACCGCTATACCCCATTCTTATTCAATATTTGCCTCCTCCATTGCCGTATAGGCCCAAGCGGAGCAGAACTCCCACTACGAACGACGCCATGGACGACTCTGTTGTATTTGCATGTAGCCGTTAAAACCCCGTCGGGACACCTGGTCCTACAGTAGAGCAGGAGAACAATGGCACACCATTCAAGAAGCTTTCAAAGGAGCGGACTCTTTGACAGAAAAAGAAGATTCATTGTAGAGGCAGAAGAAAGGAACAAAGCAGACAGGGATTGTGCGGAATATCGTCAATCACAGCAGACCCGCCCTACATTTGTGTTCAGTAACACTCCAAAGTCGGGATATATGACGGCGGAGACATAAAAACAGAACCAACATACCCCAGACTAGCGCCAGCGCTTCCCTCCGCATCATATCGCAACTGACCTCTCTTGTTCCCAAGTGTAGAATAGAAAAGCAGTGCTACTGGAAGGCTTTTTCTCTCCCTCAGGGAAGGAATCAGCGACCCTAGGATTCCTCTGTTGCGATGATACGGCTCGTAACTGCGTGCCGGTGTAATTGCGCATTTTTGCACTTCTAGTTGCCAACTAGAGCCTCTATCCGGTGATATACGAGTAGAGTCAGAGTGAGCTCCGAGCTGCTGGCTAGGTGTTCATGACGCGAGAGGACTATTGTCTTCTAGATACAATGATAAGCCGTGAAATCAAATACACATGAATTTTGCGATTTTGCACGATTCAGCGTGTCAACACGCACTGAGGGACCATCAGGGCACTCTGACTGAGTGGTCCAGTCTATTAGCACAAGCTACGAGGTTAACGAGGACTTCTACCGGTACCTTCACAAATGGGGCCACCAGATATCTTAGTTAACTAAGGAAACTCGACGATGGTGGCAGAGAAACTAGGACATACAAGGCCTAAGGCTGCTTGCTAGGACACAAACAGCATACCAAAGAGGTTGCGAGGTCAATATACCAATTGCTGGCAAGCAACAGTGGGAAGAACCCAATTATTCACAACAAGACTATTTAGACCTGTTTTACCCAAAACTGAGGACACATTTGATCACGCATTGGGTCCAGACCGAGTCTGGGGATGACTTGAACAGTAGGACATGATCCAGCCGTTTAGCTGCGAGGATAAACCAGAGAGAGAAAGACAGATTGTGATATTGTGGATGAACCACCAAACCAAACCAAGAACTATGGGGTATCATTAGGAAGGTAGAAGAGATGTGCATGAGCTTCAAAACTAATCAGGCCTGGGACAAGAGGCTACAGATGAAGAAGACACTTTCTATCCACTTAATCAGCAATCACATGTGTTGTGTCAAACACCACATGTCTTCCATATGTCTCAACAAGACACGACCAATCAGGAGCCAGGGATTAGGATCCGGGTGCCGCGAACCAACGGACATTGTACAGTAATCATCGTGATGTAAACCATAGGGCAGCAGAAGAAGAGGGCAAGCTAGCACATCTAGGGGCGCTGTACATGTTGTGTCAGCCACTGGAACTGTTGCTCTGATAGCCATGGAGGTTAGACTGTGTACGAACGATAGATTGCTTTGAACAAATTGGATCAGAATCAGAACACGGCAATAGTCAGAACACGGCAAACAGACCCAGAACACTGAACAGAACACTGAAACCGTCGAAAGACACAAAAGCGCAGACTTAACGGTCTTAAAACCTACCCTATACTGTCTCCTTGACGTCCTAGACGTTACTTGTCCAATACAACTTGACTTGACCAGTCGAACCTTGCAAAAGCGCAAGCGACCCTTAGTTAACTAAGTGATCGACCAAGAAACCAGCTGCTATCAAGTCTAATACTTGACTTACACCCCCGAACTTGCACTCTGACTCTCTCTATTGAGGGGTTAGTTGTTGATAGTGTTGTGTGTTGTGTGTGGTTTAGAGTTCATAGCTCTGCTGCATTAGCATTTCGCATATTGCATTCACACATACCTGAGAGTTAGCGTTTTCAACGATACGGTTTGATCCTTATACCATTGGGGGTTAGCGTGCAGTGTCTGGGACTCAGTGGGCTTCATAGTATTGAATTGACTTCACAAAGGGTCGGTTGTACTAACAGCTAGACACTGTATCGAGGAGGTAAAAACACCTAAACTTGAGAGACATGCATGAAGTCCACAGATTGGGCATGGAAAGTCATACATATACACTAGACCCTGGATGGGGTCTAGTCGCGACAACTATAACTCGGTTCGTGAACAGTAGTCCGAGCGAGAATCATGAAACCGAGAAAGCCGAGACATTGGAGATCATCGGGAAATGGTCGCGACGAGTGTTGATCATGGAAGGACGCGTCGCGACGGCAATCACACATAACGAGATAGTCATCAGAATTGATGACAGGCACTTGGACCGAAGGAATGAGTGAGACGCGTTGATACAGCCAGACAGCAGTGTCGCGTCGACCAATAGAGAACTAGAAATATGCCGCGACCTACGTGGTCATGCGGCAAGCTGTTGGGGCGTGTGTCCGGCTAACATACGTGTTAGGACCGGCAGGCCTCGGGAACAAACCAATATACCTAGTATGGGTTCGAGCTGGTCAAATCCAGATGACTAGTCTCGGCCTCGAACTACGAATACCAGTGGCATACCTCCGCAGTTCCGTGTACATCAAATCTCTCTTATATGTTGACTCATTTCTCATTACTATCTACAATTCCTGTATTGTATATAAAGCCTAGCAGATCCCGCAATTCAGTACTGCATCTCCCACCAAGGTAACAGTGTTGGTGCTGGTCTGAGCCTAGCGTAGAGATACGTTTATATAACTATCTTTGTTGTTATCGTTCAAATATAAAGTGGTCTTGTTGGCATATATAAGCTTTAAAGGACTTAAGCCGTGTTCGTGGAGAGTCGCGACACTTGTGTGAAAGGCACCTGTTTGGTTGTTACCTCAGGTCTGCCATTGTTCCAGTGAGTTCAGTTGCAGTACCTGGTCGTTGGCATCTGTTCCAGTGAGTTTGGTCGCAATCCAAAGTCTAGATCCAGTGCGGTCTCCGTCAGAGTACGGCAGGAAATCCTATCTAAGTCTAGAGAGACTTATAGGTCTTTGAGATATCTTTTTGAGGTGTCTAGAAGTATAAAATATATAAAACCCATATCGCTTCAGTCGAAGTAGATAATCCCTGGTCAATCTTTGACTATTTTGTGCTCATACTAGTCCTAATAAGACTTCTATCGAGTTGGCATTTTTGAGACACGAACCTGAGAAGTTCAATCTTACCTGTAAACTGCAGGACGACCTGAACTCAATTGTGTGTGTGTGTGTGTGTTGGCTGTAGTGTTTTTAGTTGGTTAGTTGCCGTCTAGCAGCTTTCTGATTATCTTCGCAAACATCAGTGTACCCATAGCCACCGTTTCAGCGAGACGGAGTAGTTTTGTACACCACCACACTTTTAAACACGAATTCTGTGACCGTTGAGAGACTTCAGATATACAAATTTCCACCTAGAGGATGAACTGCTGAGTCTGCCAAGCAACAAACCAACTTGCCAGCAGTGGCACCGCAGTCCGAATCACACTGGTTGTTTGGAATACTTGAAAGCTGTCTTGCCAGTGACACACAAAGTGATGTTGGAATCTTTCAACTCCACCTGCGGCGCAGGGCGTGCAGGGAGGAATTGAGCCATGAGATCAGCATAACTGTTGGCGAGAAGAGAGATCGCACGTGCCTAACTCAAACCACAAGCAAATAGTGACGGAGTTTGAAATAGCAATGGAGCATTCCAGAGCGTCAGGCATCACCGGCTTGCCGTGCCAGTGTTTCATGACTTCTTATGGCACGACAGGTCTTGACAAATTGTAAGAAAAGTCTTAACAATGCCTGAACAAAAAGATTGCTACAATTATCGTAAGAATAACTTGCACTGGGGGCAGGATGTAATCTGCCGGCCCTGCAGATACGAGGCAGATGGCCGACAGATTGGAAAACCCTGCGATAAAGGCCGGTTATCTGCCGGCCCCGCAGATGTTGGGCAGATTGTGGATCTACCCGACATCTGCCCATGATCTGCGGGCTGGGCAGATATCGGGCAGATTTTAAATCTCCCGGACATCTGCATGTTATCTGCCGGGCCCGCAGATTCAAAATCTGCCAGTGGGCAGATTTTGAGAAGATGTCAAAATGCCTTGAGGCGACACTTACTAAAAAAGGCTATAAAGAAAACCAGCTGACCTTTTCGGGACCCCCTTGTCCCAAAGCAGTCGAGGCATAGCACAGGTAACTGATATTGCAATTCCAAGGTCGAACTCGGTCTC